CATCAAAGGTATCATTCTAATTACAATTTCTATCTAAACACATTGCAGATCCTCATTTGGGAATTGAAAACTGTTTTATTTCCGCTGTGCATGATTAAGTAAATTCCCAACAAGAGGTATATCTCTGTCACCTACAAGTACTTAGAATTTCTACTATTGATCCAAAATATACAATCTTCCCTTGAACGACACATGGAAATAAAAAGGAAAAGAAAATACAATGAAAGGAAAAGAAAAGAAAAGAAAATGAAAAGAAAAAGAGAAGCCAGCTGAAGAACGGTGCCTAGGCGTAATGTTATAAAAAACGTAAAGCGTGGCTATACGTGGAGGTGAAGTTTCAAACTTCATGTATTGATTTGTTCTTGGAATTGAAAACATCAAACCTGCAATCCAAATACCAAACTGCTACTTCCTACACATCTGTCACAGTTCTGATGATCAAGGGAATGTGACTGGAGTTCCAGTTGTTGGAGAACGCGGAGTTCTTCGTTGATCCACATGAGATAGAAGAATTCATAAAGTCGGGAGTTGGTACAATAGTACGCAATCTAAGAGGGCTGTGGAAATTGCAGCCAGGAGTTGGTGCAGTAGCACGCAAGCAAAGTGCCCGGAGTTTTTACCCAGTTGGGGTTTCTCCGTGATCATTTTAGTTGTCTATTTATCGCTTTCATATAATTACGTCAATTCAACTTAGGAATGTTGACTTGATTGATTAACCATCTAGATATAATTAATAGTAACTTGTTCCTAGTTAATTATTAATTTTTTAATTCCGCATAATCACCTATTCATCCCTCCTTCTAGGTGTAATTTGTGTTGAACCTCGTAATTTCAATTGGTATCAGAGCAACATTTCGATTCGTGACCCATAAATTAACCTAGATGAGTCAGTATCTATCTGTGCCTCCGTTTTTTTTACGGAAGCAACTATGTTTACTGGAACGTTCGAACGAGAGTATTCCTTAAAGCATTGGATGAACGTATTTGGATCAGTGTATAAAACGGTTGGAATGCACCTTCATCCACTGTTATTGGTGTTGTTATACATACTGACATTTCTCTTTGGACTAAAGATCAAGTAGCCGATTGCAACTGAAATAGTAAAGGGCTTCATGCTCTATTTATGGCTATGTCTGTAAAGGAGTTTATGAGAATGTCAATGTGTAAAACTGCTAAAGAGGTTTGTGATATCTTAGAGACCACACACGAGGGTAC